GTAATATTTTTATTTGATGCACTTTCGTCTCCATAGCACGAATCTTTTGCCTCAGGCATTCGTTTTCCATGAACATTTCATCAGTTTTTATCACTATGGTCCGAACGACCACTTTTGTTGGCCAAAACCTAATTTTTCAAAGTCAAAACTGAAACCTGGTTTTGATCGCTCTGCATTAGAAAAAGATCGACCATTAAATCTGCGTACCAGAAATTTCCATAGATGGCGCCACATTCGCAAAATCAGCTGTGCAACCCAACTGTTTTTATAGTAAAGCACGTGAAGGGAAAAAGTGGCAAATTAATAACCACTTTAGATATCTCAAAAATTGAAAAACGCCAAGACGTGATTAAATTTTTTTGATGAATCTTAATCTGTCGGGTTCTTACTACGTGTTTTGAGTTTTAAACTGTCTCTAGTAGTTCTGATGTCTTCGTAATTGAAGGTTAAAGTGAGGCCTTCAACATGTGCCAACTTGTAATGAAAACTAATTTTTGAAAAGGTGTACAAAGTGAGTCCCACCTAGTCCCACCCTGAAACCTTTTCTGTGTCGTAGATTAATAAATTCTTTTTGAAATGTATATAGTTAGAAATGCCACTTTTTACCACAATTCTTGGAATTTGCATTAATAGAGCATAACCTCAAATTCGAAAATGCAGATTTGTTTGCCGAATGGAATTCAGAGAAGGGTAAAATTATCAATTATTTGAAAACGGATCTTAAGGCGACATATCATATGAAATTAATAAAGCTTTTGAAGATACCAGCAAGAAAATTTGTTACCGTTTGGCAACATACCGGAACAAATGCCGGTAAAATTCAAAGATGTTTGAACGAAAATATGTGGATTGGCCACAAGCCTTTTTTTCAATACATTTATCTTTATGTCCAAATATGCTAACTAAGTTCGTAAGGCTGTACAGGACCCAGTCGGAAAGCCGGCACATATCTCACTTAACGAGGCGTTAACCTTGCTTCTAGACAAGGATTTCGGCAATAATTTACGGAAACCTTTAAACGATTTTATTTTTATTTAAATCAAAATTTTTTTTAGTCGTGCAACGCCGTTTTCTTAAATAAAATATGCTTAATACTTTTTTTCACTATAACTAAAAATTTAAATATGCATTATTAAAAAGAGGGGCGGTGCCACACCCATTTTTTTTCTTAAATCCATTTCTTATTGATTATATATATCCAATACAAAAAACTAAATGAAAAAATCTTGTTCCGTTCGGGAGTTATTAATTTTGGCCAACAAAAGTGGTCGTTCGGACCATAGTGACCATAGGGACGCACCCTACAAAACAGTTACATTTATTGATATATTTTCACCTGGCAAATTTACCCTGCTTGAATTGACAGATCCTTTTATTCTTGCTTTCTCTCTATCTGGATCGGCATCATCCTTCAATCACCTCCTTTTATAAATCTGCCATTTGTTAGGTGCAGACTTCCACTGAGAAGCTTTAAAGTGATTGTCGCAGATTTTTAAATTAGCACACATGATGCAACCGTGGCTTTGCTCCGAGAACTTCCTGTTCACTACACACTTTGGTACATGACTACATTGTACTTCCGGTAAATGATTGCGGCAAAAACTGCAATGTCATTATTTTTGTTGACGGCACATAAAGGCTAAGAATATATACAAAAATTCGTCCGCGAACAACCTGCCGAACGACGAGACCACCTTGTATAATTACATCTTGGACTGGAGCGGCTGCAACTTCAAGTGGTCCGCGGCATAGAAAATGAAGGCAACAGGTCTTTTTCTTTACTGTACTTGGATATCGATATCGACGATTGGTAATATGCCCAATATGCACGACAGATTCGGACATTCTGTCGCGGCCGTTTCCTGCCATCATGCTATTCAGCAGGGTACTTGCCATGTTGGTCACTTTAACTGAGTACTAATAAGTTATTTTTAATATGTATAAATGTATAAACTTAGCTTTTTTAAATATACCGCTAAACTACGAATCGGTTAACGGATCGACGCGATTTTTGCTCTCGGCCAATGAAAATCGTCAAAAATGTTCACCAATTTTGCCGACAGCAAAAATCGCGTTCCTTGTTGCGGCAACATGCAAGCAACATTGCATACCCTAGGAAAGGATATTATAGAATTGCGGAAATGTTTGTCATCCCAGGATTAAGTCTGTTTAAGTGGTATATTAACGATATTTTAAAGAGACCAAGAATTGGTATCGGGGTCAGGATATATGTATATCAAATCAAATGCATGAATATGTCTAAAACATATCATTATGAGAAAATTTATTACGTTATAAAACGGTATCTTCACATAAAATGAACGAAATAGGGTATACAAATGGACATACTCCGGTTGACTTGCAACAAATCTTCTTCAAAATTGAGCAGTAGGAACGACTATCCTCTTTCGTGTTTTTGTCTTGACCTATTTCGCTAAAACCTTTTTTTAGGCCAAATCCAATAAAAGCAAGTATTTTAAATAAAACAGTCAACTAGAAAATAGGTTCATTAATTGGATAAAATTATGTGGGAAGGACTGAGAGATCTATCTAACTAGTAATATTTGACGGAATATTCAAGACGAGGAATATGTATTATAGAACTTGATTTCGTCAGTATATTTACGGTATATTTTTAAAATGAGACGGTATATTTTGGTATATTTCTGAGGGTAGGACGGTATATTTAAGATTTGATTTTAGAGAGTTTTAGTTTTGTTTAATTTTTGTTGATTGCGAAAACGAATTCAACGCTAACGCCAGCAAAGAGCGTCCAACAAGTCACTTGCAAGTCGATTAGCCGAGGTCGATAAGAACATTGTAAAAGCTCAAACTTAAGCTTATCCGGAGAACGATTGAACTTCAGAACTCGAACTTTGTCACCAAGTGGGTCTTCTTCAATACGTCGCTCGTTTACGAATGGAATGAAAGGCAGAATCAATAACAGAAGACAACCAACAACACAAAAAAACACAACAGATACTGCCTAACGATTTACAGCACCCAGGTTGCACAAATAATTAGGTAATTTGTAAGCGCCGTCGACATTCCCTCGAATTCGAACGGCGGAACGATAGATGATTAATGGAAAATGAACTTGGACCGTATTCTATCTAATCTTCCATTTACATAGTATTCAAGTGCATCCTTTGTAGTTGCTTCACAGATGGCCGCCATTGGAGAACGTTTCCAAGCTGCCGTCAATGTAATCAAAGGACTGCCCAAGAATGGTCCCTACCAGCCAAGCACCAGCATGATGCTGAAATTCTACGGCCTCTTCAAGCAGGCCACCGAAGGAGCCTGTGACCACAAGAAGCCTGGCTTCTGGGACGTGGTGGGCAAGGCCAAGTGGGACGCCTGGAACGACAATCGACACCTGAGCAAAGAGCAGGCAATGCAGCGTTATGTTGAGAGTCTGCAGGAGATCATCGAAACGATGTCATTTACAGAGAACGTGCAAAACTTTGTGGGCAGTCTTGATGGCCTGGGGAACATCAATTTGGACGAACTGGAATTGGTTTCCCCCGGCATGAGGGAGCTCGCCGAGTCGCATCCCAACTCGCCGTTCCATTCGCGCACAAACAGTCCACAGCATGGAACCAGCTGTAACGGAGAAGATGAGCCGGGGCCTCCATTAGCCTCATCGGAGCCAATTACGGAGAATGGCGGCAATATTGTGACCAATGGACACATTACGCCATCCCTGAGCAATGGCTACACGACCAAATCGACGAACTATACTCATGACAGCCACAACTATACCAACAACAGCAGCGTGGCCATTGTGGAGCCCTCGGACGATGAATACGACGACCCATATGATTTAAGTCACGAAGTCACCCAGGCCATTGCCCATAATACGGATCTGCTGCGACAAATCCAAATCACAATCACGCGTATGAACAACGATGTGGGCGCAGTGCAGCAGCGTGTTCGCAGCTTGGAACAGACAATAAACGAACTACGCGATGGCCAAAAGTCGAGAGCATCGCATCGGCAACAACCCGTCTGGTGGCCCTTCAAGAATATATCTCCACTGTGGTTTGCTGTCCTCATTCTGTGGCCGTTCCTGGTGCGCCGATTTGGGCGAATGTTGCAGACATCATCCGGCCGTAGACGCTGACGTAGAAGGGTGCTTAGACTAGAAATAGTGGCATGTGGTAGTTAAATTGTAAGTACGAGGTCATGACATGGTGACGAAGTCAGTCTGCTCTAAAGAAATTTTACAAGCGTATATATGCATATCAAATTTCCGTTTTTACTTGAGATACTCCGAGATTCTCGGAGACCCATGCGGTGGCTACTTGAAACCTGTTTGGTAGTGAAAGCTTTTACCATTTACATTTTAAAATGTACATATTTGCATTTCATTAACATATTCAAGGAAACAAACACAGTTTGTGCAGCATCTTTATACATATGTACACGCATAAATATATAACAGAAGGGAAAGTCTCCTTTATATACATTTCTTATGGGGTTTCAGTTTCCTGATCCCAAGGAATAAGTGATTATATTAATTTTTTAAATGATTATTAACTGGGTTTTAGCCAATTTATTTTGTATAATTCCAGTTGGGACATTCCCTTATCCCAATAATCTGGATGATACTATTTAAAACGTATTCTTGTTCAGTAAAATAATCAGAATTCATCTTTTCTTTTTCAGTTACTTTTGGTTACGGGCAAAAGCTTGGTTGTCGGCTTTCTTCTATCCTCGAAAGTTCTTCATCTACTGTACAGAGTTGGCCTTATTTATAGTTTCGCAACCACTGCGGTTATACTGTTGCAATATCTACTCGATTTTTATAGGTTTATTTTATTGTATTTGATGTACCTATGTATATTTAGTTTCGTAGAACAGAAACACGACCTTTTTTGGAACACATTCCCATCTGATTTAGTTTTTAAGACGAATGTCTAATGCACTTTCGGTCGGCAGGCATTGCTTTTGCAGAGACTAAAAGCCCTACCCTGACGTAAATGGTTGTACGCGAACAATTTATTGTGCATTATTTTTATTGTTATTAATTATAATTTTTGTAATAAAGTCATGTTTCAAAACAATGTGTTCGGAATGTTCGCTCTTAGGGCTGTGGAGTGGTGCGAAGATAACCCTTGCCGGATGGCACCTCAATGGTCTCAATGCCCTTGGGGAAGAGATTCGGAACATCTTCTCCCTTAACGGTGGGCAGCACCATGCATTTGCCTCCCTGTTGCCAGTCGGCTGGAGTGGCCACGCTCTTCGTCTGGGTCAACTGCAGCGAATCGATGACGCGTAGGATTTCACTTAAGTGGGACAAATGGGTAATTACACCAAAGCTGGAACCTTTGTCTGGTCTGTAACTTACTCGAAATTGCGTCCGGTGGTAGCAGGATACAAAATGGAAAGACGCAATTTCTTCTTTTCATCAACGATAAACACGGCACGGCAGGTCAGAGGAAGGCCATCCGCATTCAGCTCATCCTTGTCCAGCATTGAGAGCTGGTGCGCCAGCAAGCGCTTGTCATCAGCAATGATGGGATACTCAAAACTGGTCAATTCTGAAAAATAATCAAATATATGAGACTGGTTCCGTCGAAATAAAACTCGGAACTTACTGCCAAAGCTTTTGATGTCTTCAATCCAGCCCTTGTGCGACTCCACAGTGTCACAGGACAAGGCAATGGGCTTCACACCACGCTTTAGGAACTCTGGAATCAATGCAGCCACTCGGGCCAGCTCTGTAGTGCACACCGGCGTAAAGTCGGCCGGATGCGAGAAGAGAATGGCCCACGAATCGTTCATCCAATCGTAAAAGTCTATTTTTCCCACACTAGTCTCGGCCTCGAAGTTGGGAAACTGATCGCCGATATTCAGAGGGCTGCACGGCATTTTCATTGTTTAATATTCAACCAAGACTTTAAAGTTTTGGAGAAACAAAAGTGCCGCAAAATTGTTGTCAGCTGCCTGGGCCAGTGTGACCGTACCGATACCCAACTGAATGCAGCCCTGGGCTAGATACACATACATTCGCAGTCTACTTGAGTCTAAAATAATTGAGCTGACAAATTACATTAAATCTACATATTGTTAGAGGCTACGATTAAAGTATGGATGATCTCATTGTAAGTGGCCACCAAGTGCAGATGCAGACTGTCGCTCCAGTGGAACCGTTTCGAATCACCACCAATGCTCCGCACCAAATGAACGATCCCAACATGACACCGGGACGCAAAAAGCTGCAGAAATGGTTGGGCCATGTCCTTCGCATCGTTATAACCGATGGACGTGTCCTGGTAGGCTTCTTCAACTGCACGGATCGGGATGCTAACATTGTGCTCTCCATGTGCGCCGAGTACCTGGTGGAGGGACAGGAGCCGCGTCTACTGGGCAACGTAATGGTGCCGGGAAAGCACATTGTGTCCCTCAGTATTGATGACATCAATGGACATCAGACAGCATCTGCGTCTGCCACGGCACAAGTGCATGAATCTGGCAGCAGCTGAAGCCCGCTCCTTAGAGATCTATGGATCAATTAGATCAGCCAGCCGGCCAATTGACGATCAGCCGGGAATCATTCGACTGCAGCAGCGTCTATATTTTAAATCTATATTTAAACAAACTATATTTAGAAAATATATATCTGTCTATAAATTGTTGCTAGTCCTGAAAAGGACGGATTTGTAAGGATAGGCGCTTATCTTGTGTTGACCGCATCATGTTTGGGAGTATCCATCTCAGACACTCCCACGACTATCGCCAAAAATCTATATGGATTGCTCCGGATTTCCAATGCTACAATGAAGTTGCCCCATAGTTCCAGGTCCGTGCTGGTTAGCCTGTTCAATGTGGTGAACGGTGTCGCCGGGTAGGAGCAGACACAGCCAACCATCATTTCCACCTGTTGAACCTCCCTGAGGATGCGGCACTTTACATCTTTGTGCACCGGTGGATACGCCGTGTCGTGCCAATCTGATGCAGTGCACTGGAAGTTATAAAGAGGGCCCAGCACTCGGTCTATAAAGCGATGGAATTTCGCTCACCGCTGCACCATGTCCCACAGCACAGGGAACTCCCTGGCAGCGTTCACTTTTGCTAGCAAATTGGCGGGGCATCAATCCGATATGATGGCCATTAGTCGGATGCAAAATCTACGTCGGCGGATTGCGTCGAGCAAAACATGGACGCCGACATGCTCAACATCGTTGCAGCCTCCGACCAAAGTGAATGAGAAAGTTTTCGTAGAGTTTTGTAGAGTAGACTTTGGTAACAATAAACCATGTTATCTATTTACGACTGGGAGTTTTATGCTCGTCACAATGAACACATAAACATAGATATAATTCTAGTAGTAGGCCTCCTCAGTGGCCTCGGCCTGTGTAGGGGGCTCCTCGGCTGCGGGCTCCGGAGCAGCCGAAACCACGCCCACGGAGATGGCAACCGACAGTACCTTCTTCAGCTCCGGAGCAGAACCCGGCTCCGATTCCTGAAGATCGGCTCCTGAGATGCCTTCACCGGTCCTTCACCAAGCGCCGTTTTCAGAGGCTATGGAGGACGAGCAGTAAGGGGCACCTTAAAAGGTTGGCCATGCGTCGCCCTGCAAAAAAAATATCGAACGAATCGTTCGCACCATCGGCACAGTTCCCAGACATCGCAGAGCATGGCGGCCGATGCAAAGCTGAGGGAAGGTGGAGTAGGACATTGTTAGTTTAAAAATTTGGGCAGATATCGTGTCTTTCCACTCACCTGAAAGTCTTCTGGCCGCTTGCAGCAGTCGGCCACAGACATTGTCACAGTTGTCACATGTGTTACCATCCCAGATCAGTCGGCCACAGACATTGTCACAGTTGTCACATGTGTTACCATCCCAGATCAGAGCCTTGTCGCTGTCCTCGGCTGACTGTCAGCTGAACTGATCCGTCGGGCAGCCCTTTCGTCACAGCGCCAGAAGTCGGATATACAGTCGTTGTATTGTCACTACTCCCGCCACTTAAAATTATCTGGCCGTATACACGCCGTAGTACTCCTAGTCCTCCAGTAGCATCAGATGCTTGTGCTCGAGCAGACGTCGTGAGTACTGCGTGTCACACCCCGCTGGCTATGCAGATGTGGAAACAACTTGGGCGACTGTGCCGTGTGATTGCACAGCACTTTCGCATCCGGTGTCCACACGGCCCGGATGTCGGTGAACTGCGACAGACGATGCAGCTCCACGGAATGACGCTCTTTGTTGACAGGGGTGAAGCAGGCCCCATTCCCCACGGCAGAATCCTGAAGACGCTGTCCAGATGCCGTTTTCAGTCAAGGGTCTGTTGAAATGAATTTGGTCTTCTGGGGGTGGAGGCAGGGCGGAGTAGTGGGCCAAAACTGCGCCAAAGGGCACCGCTAGTCTTCAAAACGGCCGTCCACGGGAATGTCTGCCACAAATCCAATTGAGATGGCAGTGCTTCGATTAATCGCGACAGCTGATCGCTAGTGGTGGTATAGAATCCGAAAAATACCGGAAAATACCGAAAATTACTCGAAATATTCTTAGTTTTTGATCTTCCGTCGAATATTACTAGCAAGATAGATCTCTCAGCCATGACCACATAATTTTATACGATTAGCGATTTTCAATTTTCAAATTTACTGGTCTACTCTTAATACTTGCTTTTTTTGGATTTCTATATACGTTGAAAATTTAATTTAATAGATTGATGAAACTGGCAAAATATACCATTTGATCAGCTGTTTGGTAGCCTAGCCCGCGTTGCCAACCGTCTCGCGGGCCAATCAGCTGCGCCCATGGTTCAGATTTTTGTTATTCAGAACCAGAACAGCACAGAAACTATTCCGAGGCGCAGGCACAGCCAATTAATTTAATCAAACGAAACTCGGAATAGAAAACTCATCTCATTCAATTGAGAGCAATCAGCGATGGATTTCACGACCTTCGTAAAGCCCACCAACGGGGGATCAGGCGATGCCGATGCGGGAATCCAAGAGCTGCAGTTCTGTAAGCATGTGAAGTACATCGAGAATCATGGAAAGCAGGAGGACGACTACGAGTACTGCATGACCGAGTTTCTGCGCATGTCGGGCATCTACTGGGGCGTCACAGCCCTTGACATAATGGGGCAGCTGGATCGCCTGGAAAGGAAGCACATTATCGAGTTTGTGAAGCGGTGCCAGTGCTCCACGACGGGGGGATTTGCACCCTGCGAGGGCCACGATCCGCACATGCTGTACACTCTGTCAGCGGTGCAAATACTCTGCACATATGATGCCCTGAATGAGATCGATTGCGAGGCCGTGGTGCGATTTATTGTGGGACTGCAGCAGCCGGACGGCAGCTTCTTTGGTGACAAATGGGGCGAGGTGGATACCAGATTCAGTTTCTGTGCGGTTGCCACTCTGACTCTGCTCAAGCGTATGGAGCAGACCATTGACATCGATAAGGCGGTCCAGTTTATTATGTCGTGCTGCAATCAGACGGATGGCGGATTCGGCTCCAAGCCAGGCGCCGAGTCCCATGCGGGTGAGTCATGATCATGAGCTAATCACTTTTGTACCGTTCTGATAACTCCCATTGGGTGGCTCTCCTGCAGGTCTCATTTATTGCTGCGTGGGTTTCCTTTCACTCACACACCGATTGCACTTGCTGGACGTGGACAAGCTGGGCTGGTGGCTCTGTGAGCGCCAGCTGGGCTCGGGCGGACTCAATGGGCGGCCCGAGAAACTGCCAGATGTGTGCTACTCCTGGTGGGTTCTCTCCTCGCTGACCATTATGGGCCGCCTACACTGGATCAGCTCCGAGAAGCTGCAGCAATTTATTTTGTCCTGCCAGGACGCAGAGACAGGCGGATTCTCCGATCGTACGGGCAACATGCCCGACATATTCCACACGCTTTTCGGCATTGGTGGTCTCTCACTGCTGGGACACTCCGGCCTGAAGGCCATCAATCCAACGCTCTGCATGCCCCAGTACATCGTCGATAGGCTGGCCATTAAGCCCCAGATATTGTCGCGGCCATAAAACGATCCCCTCGGAGCGGAACACCCTTAACTGTTATAGCCAATTGTTTCATCTTTGTAGTGCATATGAAATCGGAGCGCTCAATTACTCGTTTATTCCAACACAGATCCCTAAGATTTACTTGTAAAACAGACCAAATTTCCGCCATGGAATCGCTTTAACCCAACGCTATTTGCTCTTCTAGAGCGTGTATCCCCTCAAAAAGCTATAAACAATGTATTTTTTATGATTAATTGGAAGTAAAATTAAATAAAGACATTACTCTATTGCAGCAAGCCAGGAAATGCTACATTTTCTTCCTTCTGTGTGGGAAAGCCGTCGTTCTTAGTTCTTATTTCAATCCAAAAATCCCTATAATCCGGGTCTGCGTATCGCATCATATTCGTTTGTTTACAAGCCGGAAATACTTTACCTCTAGTTTTTTAGTCAAGTCTAGAGGAACTCGGACAAAAACTTATCTTTCGATCAATTTTCCCATAAGATATGATATGCTTTCATTCAAGGTAGGGAAACCGGTGTGGTGTTTGCAAAACTGCATTTGCTGCGCATTTGCACATGCGAATTTGCATTTGACGCCCATCAAATCAGCTCTCTTGGCCTCGACAGTAAATGGCAGAGTTAATAATGGCAGGGCTCGGCAAATGTTCGCCCGTGAATCCACCAACGCCTCTCTTATGCGCATCAGGCGGACAAACCGGAAGACTTGGTCTCTTGTAATGGTATTCCATAGGATGATGGGATGGTTCTGGACTATCAAAATTAATTCCGGTGGCACTTCTTCGATTTCAGGCCCACCGTGGAGGCCTTGACATTCGACAATAAAACGTACAAATATTTGTCAAAATCTGTAATGTGTAAAATCTGTAAATGAATCTGTAGACTTGCTAGTTCTGATCTTGCTCACCAAGTTCTTTGTTTGTAAATATGGGATTATAATTTCGTATATTGAGAACTTATAGGCGAAAGAGTCCCTTCAGGAGATCCAGAAGTTGGCCATTCGTAATGTTCTTCAGCTGCAATCCTTTAAGGGCACGGTGGCGCAGGATACAGAATTCCTGGAGTGTAAAAACATTGCAATACATGTGCTTAAACTTTACCTCCAACAAATGTGGCTTATCCAGGATAACACTTTCCACAGGAGAAACCTGGTTCTTGATCAACCCCTCGATGAAAGAGTCATGTACACAACCGAAGTGACACCTGTAGGTGTTTCAATCTGGGCAACTGACAGACCAGCTCACAGAAATCCAGAATCACAGAAATGGCAGAAATCCACCAAGCTCCAGAGATTCCAGTTGATCCAGTTTCGTTATACTTATAAGGGAGTATGCAAGTCCAGTTTTCGTGGACACTCGAATTGCTTGAGATTGTATGCACCACCCATTTCCCATGTCGAGATCAGCGTGCAAAGATTTGAGCTGTTTCAGGCTTTATAGATCGACCATCCGTCCCCTGGTCCGTCGAAAGATCATTTTCAAATGTTTAAGATTCGCTGGTCTTCTACTGTGAGATAATCCATTACGACTCTCTAGCAATCCTCACTTAAATGGAGAACATTTGTTCAAGACGTTCCTCTGCATTGCAAGTGCCGAAGCTTTCTACTCATCTGCATTCCTCTTTCTAATTTCCTTGAGAGCGTAATTAGCTAGATTGCTAACGCAACCGTGTCCACTCATGGCTGTGTGATCTTGAGCAGTTTCGGCCAATAGATGCTTGTATGATTCTTACTCGAACCAGATTAAAAGGGTGTGTATCAGGCCAGAATCTATTCTTTTCCAAATAGTTCCGATCTCAAAGAATTAGGCTAGGCAGTTACAAATTGCCGAATAATTCAGAAATAAATAGAATAAAATATACTTGTTGAATTCAAAAGCGATCGCTAAACAAACAAGAAAATATAAACATAGTCGCTCAATAGTTTCTAAGATCAAACGTCTTTCTAAAATCTATTTTATTTCAATTTCAAGTAAAGTGTAAAACAAAGCTTAGAATAGATTATATCAAAAACATGTCCATAAATGGACGTGTCGTTTCGAAATAACAAACACAAAATCGGATGTCTGGCCTAAATTGTTATTCCATTGCTATATTTAAAAATAAAAGGTATGTAACCGCCGAGCTCGTTTCGCCTATCGCAGAAAAATACCGATGCATCGATAATGATCGTATGGCACTACATCCAATTACCTGTCATATTTGAAAAGCAGAGAAGTTCTGAAAGGAAAAGCATGCAGTGAGAGCGAGAGAAAAATATGCTTTTGTTTGGATCTGGTTGAAATAAGTGTGTCTATTTCCTGAACTCAGAATATATGTTCCGTTGAATCCGAATTAGTATTTTCGGCAGTAAAAAATATATATCGATATATGGACCTATCAATATATTAACATCCCTAGCGGACTGGTAGTAAATAAATGTAAATAAATATTTTGGACGCCCGCCATTCCGTACGCGACGCGTGTCCACAAGTCGGTTGTTCACGAGTCGTCAAAGGCGCGCTAAACACATAACATACATATGTATATACATTAGTGCGTACTAAGTTTTAAGTAATGTGTTAGCTTATATTCCGTGCGGCAAAAACATTTTCGTTTCGAGTATTTACATAATAAAGTACCAAGTAAAGTAAAAAACAAATAGTACAACATGACGACCACCGATGTGCGCAAAAGAAAAGTAAGGCCAAAGGTTAAAGGGGTAATAGAATTAAATTTTTTAATGCTAATTTCGGTGTGCACACACACCCACTCGCCGACACACGCACACTGATAAAAATAACCACTAGAGCGAGAACGAGATTTCTAAAGAAATTTGTTCTCTTTTGAGTCGGAAGTTGAAAATTTAAACGATTCCCTTCCCGCCCGTCTTACACAGAGGGAAATAATTGTTTCAATCAGTAGTATTTAAATGGGTGCCAATTTTTTATTTAAAATTCCTATGTATTTACATACAATTCGGAACAGATATATTGAGCAGATTCAATGCCGGCAAGGGAGAGAGAGCGATAGATAGATTTAGAGTCATAAGGAGGAGTGAGATGGAGCAGTATTAGAGGAGGCTGCCAAACTGGTTTAAAGGGCGTGCAACACTTTATGCAAATTTCATTTTCAAATAAAAGGTACACAGGTGTGTATGTAGGTATATAGACAGCTAAAACTATTCGCTAATGTTAATTTGTCTCACATATATGTATGTACATCCGAACTTTGCTTAATTATTGGCTTAATTCGCTGACCTTTGCGCTTTAGCCGGCTGGTTTTGTTAACTTTTGGGTGCTCATACATACATACATATATCTCTCTAAATTTCTTATTCACAAGGTCATCCAAGTGCCAGAACCCACAAACAAAAAAACGTACACACACAAATTGTGTTGGCACTCGATTGATGATAATGCCACCACAATCTGGCTAGACTAGACAACTTTTTCAATTGCTTTCCCCGAAACATTATTTGGGATACACACGAGAGAGTCTTTCGGTTTGGGGATCAGTGCATTGCATTGCATTGCGTGTGGGCGGAGTGGAGTGGAGCTGCAGCGGGGACTGAACAGGTTGCAAGTAAGTGGGGGAATCGTGGCCCGCACAGTAGGTCTGTGAAACTCAATTTCTTGGGGAATTCTAACTGGAAAAAGTACATATATGTATGTATATTCTACTACAGAAATAAGATCTTCTGATAAGGCACTATCCACAAATCAGTGGGATAATCCCATTGATTCCTAATGTTTTATCGACGCCCAACCCAGGCTGGTATTGCATTCTGATCGAAATATTGATTTATATAAAACTAGTCTAGTCAGTTATGAACCACCATGAAACTATTGAAAAAAACAATATTGTGCGTGCCTCAATTCCAATTTCATGATTTCGTTCGTCCGTGTCATATAGTACTTGGATCGCCCATAGGAACAAACGTATATATGTACATATCTGGGACGGCTTACTCACTATTAATCGACACAAGAAAGCCGTCCACGTCTCTAGTTATCAGTTGCATTATTGATTACAGTAGTGCTCCACCCCCAAGCCTTCGCAGCAGATGTGATAAGTTCTCACACTGAATATTTAATGGCTCTCGTTCCGCATGTCGATGTACATACATACTGTATGTACGATTAATTGATACGAAATGAAATAATTTCATAGTACTTGTCGTCAGCCCCATTTCGTGGTCGAATCGACAGACACACAACAGTCTGTACAAAGTTTTAGCTACGAGTATGTTGACTTTATTTCATTGTATTGAAATAGGAAGGGGGGACTTTGTCGTCACACACTTACCAAAAGCGAAACATTTGTTTAAATAATGGTAATTTCAGCAGTTTTGTTTGTGTTGCCCCAGCAACGTTTTTATTTAATCAGGCTAATAGATCTGACTGCCCAATTTCGTGCCCAGACATGCATAGGTACAGTATCTAATCGTGGGCATATCGCTTGAAGGTTGTGTGATAAGATGCCCTCCTAAAACGCTTACTAGCCTGCTGCTCGCTGCTGTACACTAAAAATTGTGTAATTTGGCATGACTTTGAACTTTTTCTGGGGGGCAATTTTGCGCACCATTGAAAGGGTGATGATTGTTTTTGATGTGCCATTTAATTGATTCTGGTCGGCCCACCGATATGTGCATATAAGGTGTGTGAGGATTGGATGAGATATAATAAGGATGCGGATCATTCGATCTCTGCATGCAAGATTCTTTAATGAATAAATCAAAAATTGTACCTATAGGCATTACCCATCATCTGTTTACTTACGGGTGTAAGTTTTTGGTGTGCTTGGAAATGTTGCTGAAATTTGAATTGCAAATTTCAATTCGAATTTCCCGAATTTCCTGTAGCCCTGACAGCTGTTTGTCTAGTTATCGATTGCGCAAGCTGTGCGGCTCTGCAGCCCTGGCACATGTGAGCGAACGATAAAAGCGGCCCGAAAAAAAAGAGAAGAAAAATATAAATGGAACAACACAGCCATTGACAATTGACATTTCAAGAGATAGCAAACAAGAGACTGAGAAAAAAAAGCAAGATACATACATATATGGTGATGGTGTGGCGGCCTGCTAATATTTAAAACGGGCAAACACTTGAAATGTGTCTAAGCGAAAGCACCAGTTATGCATAATAATTGCGGCACAGCGACGGGCAGCGACAAACGCAACGAAACCGAGCAATGAAATACGAATATAAGCTGGTAGAAACCCATATACTATGCAACTATGCTATGCAACTAATCAATTAAAACATAATTCTAAATGATGTATTTGATCGAACCTACTCTAACCGGTTAA